AAAGGTCCAATGATTAATATTTTTATTTCTTCTGATTTTTATGTCAGGGATTCGACCAAACAAAAAAAATGCTGAACCTTAACTTGATTCTATTATTTTTTGAAAATATCTTGAGTTTTGAAATATACCATTAGTGATGGACTGATGGCAAGTTAAAAGCAAACAAATTAAATAAGAAAACCTTGCTATGTTCACAAATTACAATTTTTTAGCCAACTCAATTAGGCGCTTTACGTGAGAAGAAAATAATCAGCACTAATTTGTTAAACAATGGCAAAACTAACTACTAAATAAAACTAAATTAAGTAGCATCAAAATCAAGTACTTGGATTCCAAGTTCCTAGCTACTAAATATATGCTCTTTTCGTTCTCTTTTACTTGTCATATTTTGCCTTATAAAGTCAATTTGATTATTATATTTTAAAATATAGGTTAAAATTTAAATAATTAACTCTCGAAAAATAAAACATGACAAGTAAAAAGAAACGGAGAAATATATTTGATAGTTTAATGATGATAATTAATAATTATAATGGGAAGCGGGAACTAATTTATTTAGTCAATGTTAGAGATCCAATGCTTATAGATCTACACCGACTAATTATTTAGTCAAATATTAGACTTGATTTTTCTTCCTTTTTATTTTGAATAAAATCATCCCTAAATTCTCGTGTCAACTTTGGGTTTGACAAACTGTAGTGGTCTTTTATTTATTTATCATAGCTATTTTCTTTTCTAAACAAAAGAAAAAAAATACTTATACCTTTATTTATTTATTTTTAAAAAAAAGGGTCATATATAAAGTTATTGACTTTTTTTATAAAAAAGAAGAAGTTTTAGACCTTTTATTACTAGCCAAATTAAACTCATCTAATAGAGTAGTTGATTACTAAACAAAAGAATCTAAGTTAATGTACTCAAATTTTAAAAAATATATTTACACGACTAGGTTGCTTATTTACAGTGTAATATGTAATATATAATAAGAGATAAACTTAGGGCAGTTTATTAGACAGATTGGACAGATAATTATGCTTAATGATTTGATTTATCGATATCAATATCGACTTTTAAATATACTAATTCACTAGCCAACAAATAAGCTATCGATTGGTTTAATATCAAATTAGTAATTAATGGGTGGTGTATTGACTCAATCATTTTGTGCTGCTCCCTTCTTTTACTTTCACTCACCAATATATTGATTTTCAATCAAATAAAACATTTTAAAAAAAAACTCTACTTAAGTTGGTAATTTTTAATTGTTAATCATAGTGAATCTATGTATGAAAGACTAAATTTTGAGAGTTCATACACACAAGAATTTATTTAACTAATATACTTACATAAAAATGTAACTACGATAATTTTTAACGGATTAACGATTTACTAATAAGAAAATTAATCCGCCCCTACTCCGATAAATCGCCAACTATAACATTTTAATCCATTCACCAACTGTTAATCTGATAGCCCAATACCAATAAGCGAATAAACCAATATAGTTACGATTCGATTATAATCAACCAGATAAACCTCTACAAGTAACATTAATTAGTTATCTAATAAAGAAAGGTAAATAACGTACTATAAGGATTAAACTACACTGTTAAATAATTATATAAAAAAATTTATATTGTCTTACAACTTGAATTAACAAAAAGACAAAGAAATATTTAGCTATTAAGAATATAAAACTTTTGATTTAGTCATATTTTGATCACTTTTGTACTATACTTTATTTAAAGTCTCTTTTCTCTGATAAAAAAAAAGGAAATTTATTAAGAAGATAGTCAATAGGGATCAGTGTATTGCTCCTTTTTCTTAAATAATAAGTTGCTTAATTTTAGGGTGAATATTCTTTTTGAATTTTAAATTTTGGTTTGATTTTTATTTGGTGAGATATTTTGATTCTTTGAATTTTCATTATTCAGATCTTTTTCAAATTGAATATTTAAAGCCCGTTTATTAAAATTATTAAGAGACATTCTTGATTATTCTCCCAACCCTTTTTTTTTTTAGCAACTTTCACATTTAGCAAACATAAAAATCATATTTGTATGCTATAACTATAGTTTGCATAATTGTGCTCCATAACAAACTTTACGTTTGCTATGGAGCATCAGATTGTATAAATTGTTGGGGTATCAGATTTGTATAAAATCGATGGCAGCCTCTCATTTGTATAAATCGTTGACAGTCTCTCGTTTGTATAAATCGCTGGCAGTCTCTCAATTCAATTTTATGTGTTTGTATATCTGCATAAAATTTGAATTTGTATACAATTGAATCGAAATAAAACGTTTGTATATCAAATCTCTCTCTTTCTCTGTCGCTTCATACAAACACAGATTATACAAAATGTATAATTTGTGTTTGTATAAAGCGAGAAAGAGAGAAAGACAAAAAAAAACTAGGCAGAGGAAGATTTGTATTGTATACTTATAAGTGTATAGGACGAAGATATATGTATTTGCATGTGTATATACAATTTTCTCTCGCTTTATACAAACAGAAACACAATTTATACATTTGTGTTTGTATAAAGTGAGAGAGGCGAGGGAGAGATTGGCGAGCGAGAGAGGGAGAGTGGCAAGCGAGAATTCCATGGAGAGAGGCGAATGACAATAATTTGCTACGGGTTACAATTAAATCAAACTGTGGTTATAACATTTAATTTGAATTAATAGTTTGCTATTATATACAATTTTCTCTTTTTTTACACCATCTTCTTATTGAAATTTGCTTGCATTTCTTTTAACAGAATCAATTGTTTAGTTTAAATTGAATCGATTTTTTTTTTAAAAAAAAATTAATATAGTTTTGCTAGGAGATTATGGTATGATGGCAAACCAAAATTAGTATTGAAGAAAAGAGAGTGTAATATTCTTTACTCTTCACACTCTAAGAATAACTTGTCTAATTTCACCAATAATTCACCATTATCTTTCTTTTTATCATCTAGCGTCAAATATAACATTTCTTTTTTCTTAAATGACCATACTATTATTGCTAGCGTTTCCCCCCTTCATTTTAATAATTTCACTTTACCTCCTTAAACTTCAAAACAAGAGACAAAATACCTAAAAACATTGTCTATATAAACAATGTCACTTTATTATGCATTTTTTTTGCAAAGTTAAAAGTTGAAACTATACATTCCTTAATTCTTTCATCTTTGCTTTTATTTTTTTTATTTTTTTGTTACTAGAAAAAGTGAACAACTTATTCCTGAACTTGCTTCATCCTAGTGCTAACATGCATATTCTAGTTAGTGTTTAACTTTTATGCAATAGTGTAAGATAAGTTTTATTCTATGAATTCAATAAAAAAAATAAAAACAACTTCAAGTAAGTAACTTATCTATAAAAAGTGAAATTCACAACTAATAAAACAAGACAAGTTATCTGATATAACAAATTAAAATACAATGACAATGTGGATTTTTCCTATATTGCTATATTCGGAGTGTTCCCACAAATAATTAATGGTGCAATTATATACACGTTTTCTTGTGCAACTAAAAGGTATACATAGTGGTCCTCCAACCTAATAAACTCAAGCAACATAAGGTTCTTGAGAGTGATATAAACAAGGAAATTAATGAACTTTGAATAGAAGGAAGTTATGCTACAAACATCTTTTATTATATATAGAAAAATAGAACAATTTTTATATTAAAAAGAAACATAAAAATAAATATTTTTATGAGTTATTTTTAAATATCTTATAAAATAAAAATTTATAGAATGACTTGACTAGCTTCATATTCCACGTTGAACGTTTCAACGGACTTTAGTGTACTCATCATTACTGTCTTAATCATGATGTTGGTGCCATTATACACGTGGATGCACTTGATTGATCCTTTGACATCGAATTAATACTAATACTTAATTATTCATTAAAAAATACGCAATAATGTACAATATTTATTTGGAAACACTGAATAAACTATTGTCAATTGTACAGTAGATTGTCTTTCCACTTTGTAAGAACCAACGAGGAACAAACACATTACACAAACATAATACTTCTATCAATTTTATAATTTTAATTTCCAACTCAAAAACTCCACTTGTTAATATTCTTTTTTTTTTTTTTTGTTTCGATGACACGTCTTTCAACTTGTACATTGGTAGGCTAGGGTCATTGCGTTTTGGTCGTTAATTAAACTTTTTTTGGAACCCCAGGATAACCTGCAGCTACTACAATCTCTGTCCTTCGGGTGAGCACTTTGTGCGCACTGAGTAAACCTCCATTGTGTAATTGCCTGCAAACCACACATGAGATGTAAACCACACTAGGCAAGTCCTATGCGACATGCTCGACTCAGAAGGCATTGAGGGGGGATCGATCCCGGTCATCCGTGTGGATAACCACCCTCCAAACCAACTGAGTCATTCCGATAACGTTAATTAAACTTATTGTTGCGTTGTTTATAAGATTTCTCCATAGACTTTAACTTCTATGTATAGTGTATAGTTATTTGTCAACTAATATCTATGTCTTTTATCTTTGAGTGTGCACAAATAGATACTTAAACTTGTATAAAATTGAATAAGATATATGCGTTCTATGTGACATAATACATGTTAAGCACCACATAAGATGCAAATTGTCATGTAGGATGTCAAGTAGGATGCGTGTGTCTACTTGTTCAACTTTATACAAGTTTAAGTGTCTAGTTATGCACATCTAAAATTTGATGGCATAGAAGATAGTTGAAACCAAGTTTAATAACACGTATATGTATTATGCTTTATGCTTTATATAAAAAATAGTGATGACAAAACATCAAAATTTCTCCCACTACAAAAATGGTTTGTGGTGCAATAGTGAGACTTTTTCACTCTTAACCAGAAGTCTCGGATTCGAGTCCGAGTATGGAAAAAATTCTATTGGGAGCGTCACCCTCGAATGATCTCTGTCTCTGACGTGCGCGATCTAAATTTAGTCGAGATTCCAATGCGAGATCTAACAGTGGTGGGAAACCAAAAAGTAAAAGAAATTCTCCCACCAATATCCTACCTTCCCTTTCTCCTCTTATTGACTTGCTATATATTCTCTACTTTCCTTGTTGTTCATCTTCTTCTTCCTCAGTTCCCATAATGTTGCCATCTGAAAATTCTTCCCCTAGGAAGACATTCAAGAAACTCAGAAATTCCTTCTATTTGATCAAATCCCAAGTTGGATTTCATCATTGTAAATGGTTTTTCCTCATCATTCTCATTCAAGTCACCTTCATTCTATTCCTTGCCGGAACTTCCCCTCCGGCCATTCCCCTCCGACACCAGCACCAGCAACAGCGCTTCCAAATCTCGAAACCTCAAAAACAGAGCATTCACCAGAAGAAACAGAGCAATGGCCAAGTTCAAATCTTGCAAGATTCAAAACCCAAAAACAAACAGCAAAAACAGAGCAAGGACCAAGTTCAAATCTTGCAAGATTTAAAACCCAAAATCAACCAGCAGAAACAGTTAGTGCAAGCTAAAGAACCCCACGATGAGTGTGAATACGGGAGAGTTTATGTATACGATCTTCCAACAAAGTTCAACAAAGATCTTCTAAACAACTGTCATGATTTAGACCCATGGAGTTCTCGATGCAACGCGGTTACAAATGGCGGTCTTGGACCAAAAGCAACTGGCCTCGACTCAATCGTACCGGAGAATATCCGGTCTGCTTGGTACTGGACAGATATGTACTCCGCTGAAGTCATTTATCATGAAAGAATTTTGAATTACAAATGCAGAGCATTAAACCCCCAAAATGCTACTGCATTTTATATCCCCTTTTATGCCGGACTTGCAATTGGGAAGATTTTATGGTTCACCACAGCGAAAGAACGAGATCGTCCTAGTGAATTGATGCTAGAATGGGTAAAAAATCAACCTTATTGGAATCAAAATCACGGGTCAGATCATTTCTTAATGCTCGGTAGATTAACATGGGCATTTCGAAGAAAAACCGATGCTGATTCCGATTGGGGCACGAGTTTTCTCCGAATGCCATTGATGAAAAATGTTCTTCGTTTATCTATTGAAAAGAATCCGTGGGATGATTTAGAGGTAAGTGTTCCTTATCCTACAGCTTTTCACCCTCAGTTCGAAACAGAGATTAAACAATGGCAAGATCTCGTGAGGTCACGTAATCGTTCTAGCCATTTTTGCTTCGTGGGAGCTGTGAGGAAGAAGATCAAGAATGATTTCAGAGAAGTATTAATGAATTACTGCAAGAACGAGACGGGTTCTTGCAAGATTGTGGATTGCTCCGTCACACATTGTTATGACGGAGCACCAGCAATTCTTGAAGCATTTTTGGATTCTGATTTCTGTTTACAACCAAAAGGGGATGGATTTACAAGAAGATCGATGTTCGATTGCATGATGGCAGGTTCAATTCCAGTGTATTTTTGGGAAGGAAGTTTTAAAACTCAATATGAATGGCATTTGCCTTCGCCATCGGAGGATTATTCAGTATACATGGATCATACTGAAGTTAGAAATGATACTAACATAATTAGAGAAGTACTCGATAAGTTCACGAAAGATGATGTGAAGAAAATGAGAGAGATTTTGATTGATGCTATGCCTAAGTATTTGTATGCAAGGTCTAATCAAGGATTAGGGAGTAGTAATGATGCTTTTGATATTGCTATTGATGAAGTTTTGAAGAGATTCAAGCAACAAAGGGAACAAAAACAAAACTTGGAGGAAACAAGAAAAGATGAAAAATCTATAGAATAAGGTACATTATTACTCAACAGGAATTGCAACCCCTCATTCTTTTACTTTAAAAAATCAATTATTTTTTGTTTTGTTTATCATAAATCAATAAGAAATTGCAGTATTAGTAGTAAATTTTCATCATTGATATAATCCTCTTACATGTAAATTTTCATCATTGATGTAAATGTTATACATGATACTTTTTTTAGTGTCCTTGTAATTTTAGTAGTAGGAATGTAGAATTCATTCTGGAAATCTAATCAGTGTTTTGTCTTTTGAGTAGAGACTATGAGCAAAAAGCATAATGAAAAGTCATGTTCTGCTCATGGGGAGATGAATGCGGAAAAGTGGGGTCCTCTCACCCGTGATCACTTCCTTTTTAGAAGTCAGATTCAATTTTCAATTGACACTCCATAGAAGGAATTCTAAACCTCTAAGAGACGAGACAGATTTAACGCTACACCTTTTTTCTTAGCGCCTCCCTCTAGGCAGGACTCACAATGAAAGGATGCACAGAGTAAAGTTGTCACCATGAACTAAGGTCATTTCATTTCATTATATATAAAGGTTGCTAAAGATGCCAAAAATATTACATGTGCTAGTTGATGGAGATGACAATTATTATAGCCAATATATCTAGTGTCACTCTTTTAATGTATAATAAAATGATCTTAAATCAAATTAAAGATTCTATAAATAATACTTTAAATTTTATTCATTTTTTAATTTTTTAATTGAAAAAGTTTAATGTTTTATGTCACGATAGAACATCTATAAGACACTAGATACTCTCATAAGACAACATCTATATGCTATGTATGCGGCAAAATAAAGGATAGTTTTCTTTAGAACTAATTATTGATGTAATATATTTTTCTCTATAACATTCTACTTATAAAGGTATTGACATTCATTATATATAAGTACACTTTTTGTTTTTGTAAAATTACATCTATATCATTGCCTTACTCAAATATTAATTGAATAATAATATTTTGTAAAAGATATATCACGTTTAAAGATAAAATATTAAAATATTTATGAAAATCGTTCTTAGTGTCATGCACATATTAAATTTCAAATATTAATATCAAAGAGAATAATTGTACTTAAATGGTGTCCATCATTTACAGTCGTAACGTCAAGAGGAAAAGTTATTGCTGACCTTTTTTTTATCTTGATATTATTTTTCTATTTTGTTGGTTACGTTTGTTCACCAAATTGAGTAAAGTAAAGAACAATACTACTTAAGAAATATCACTTTCTCCCCATATTCAAATTTTTTTAATGCATTTTGAAATATTTCAACGATATCTGGTCATTTTTGTCTCAAAAAATAATTAACTCTATGAAAATTTATACTAATCATTTAAAAGCACTTGTTCAATATTCTTTCAGTTATAATTATTTACTAAAAAACTTTAATTTAGTAATATTAATTCTATTTTACAACATCGTATACTATATGATATGATAAACACGTGCAACACACGTACTGTGAAACTAGTAATAATATAAATAACAATGACAGCAAGGATGGCTTTGAAATAGTAATTAATTAAAGCCTTTTGTTTTTGGTGAAATTAAGTAACGGCATGGTTAATTTGCCCCTATTGTGGACTGGGGGTTTAGGTATAAAATATGGAATTTTTTTGGGTACATATTATGCTTATTTTAGTTCTTGTTGACAAATAAACAAGTGATAATTACATTATAAATTAGCTGAAAAATTTAGCTAATAGAATAAAGGTAGGATTATAGTTGTCAAGTGGTCTTACTATATTACTAGCTCCTATATAAAGATATTGGTGTCAACTAATTAAAGTGGTCCTCAATCAAATAAAATATTTATAGATTTTAGTGGCAATTTGAAATTTATCACGTCTAAAAAGTGTGAAACAGATTTCGATTGAGTTAAATCGGATTTGTTGTAAGTAATTTTTAGTACACTATTGAAAAATTTAACTAAAATATACACAAGAAAAATATAATTAGTGAGATTTTTTACTAGTTCAAAATCGTTAATTAAAATTGAAAAATTTAACTAAAAAATGGAAGCTATGAAAGGAGGAGGAGTTTGGATAAAAAAAACTTTGTAATGGAGGAATTAGAATCGAATTGAATTGGTTTTTCTTGGATTGATTATAAATATCTAATGTTACCCCTATTTGTATTTGTCTAGGAATGTTTCTAGAAACTATTCGAAACACATTTACAAAAAAAGGTAAGATTTTAGAACTTATAGATCTATTTCTAAAATAAATATCTAAGATACTATAATAGATCAATCTAGCCATTTTTTAAAAATCTACAATTTTCTTTGTAATTCCAAGAAATTAACTTCAATTTTTTACACCCATTATTAACAAGTGAAAAATGTCCAAATATAATACAAATGCAGTTACCGACATAAATTTTACTTATTACTCTTATTTAATTCTTTACACCCATTATTAACAAGTGAAAAATGTCCAAATATAATACAAATGCAGTTACCGACATAAATTTTACTTATTATTACTCTTATTTAGAAGTGGGAGTAGGGAAGGACGAACAAGGGCAAACTAGGTAATTCCAATGTTAACTTTGGGGTAATTCGTAATGTAAATACTACATTATAATGGGCCCATCTGTCATAGATATATGACCTACTCTATTAACACGTGTATTGCTCTTTATTTATCAAGAAACACGTGTGCTACTAATTGTGTTGTCTTTTTCATTGGAACATTTAACAAAAAACTTGTGTAAAGTGAGCTCATTGTTCTTCTTCTGGGAATGATTTCTACCGTCCCTTCAGTTTTAAATTTCTTTCCCACTGGTATTATACCTTTTCCTGCCAGTGTAGAACCTAGCGGATATCGATTAATCTAATTTTATGTTATTTTTATTTTGCCTTTAGGTCAATTTTTCATTGGATTGGTTTGAATTTTCTTTCAATTTTGCTGATTTCTTAGGTATTTAGGGTTGTTATACCGTTGCATGCACTACATTTTAGAGTTCATTGTAATTTGTAGCACTGGCCCTTTTTCTCCTTCTCCTCTCCGACTTGCCTATTTACAAATTTGTATCTAATATAATAATTTCTCCTATTCAGGTCTATTACTTCAAGGAGATAGGGGAGAATTGCAAGCATGAGATGCCGGAATGGAGCAGAAGCTTGAAATTCAAACAATCTATCAAATTTTTATATCGTTATACATCAGGTATACCGACCTCAATTTTACCAAATCAAACCAAGAAAATATAGGTTCTCCCTATTTTGATCCGATTTTTGATTTACCGACTATGAATTTCTGATTTGAGTAGAGATTGTAACACTAAATTCCTTATAGGGTGAGTTCACAATTTTGCGGTCTACATGAGTTACATTCTGCTACCACAACAATTAGGGTGTGTTTGGTATGAAGGAAAATGTTTTCCTAGAAAATGTTTTCCATAGAAAATGTTTTCCTGGAAAACAAGTTGATTTTTGACTTCTTTTCTCATGTTTGGTTGGTGAGTAGAAAATATTTTTCGGAAAAGATTTTTAGTGTTTGATTTATGAATGATTTTTTTTTTTGAGAAATATCTTTTATTTTTACTAGGGTAGAAAATAATTTTTGAAATTGAAAATATTTTTTAAAAATAAACTAAAATTTTTTTGGGGGTGGGGTGGGGTGGGGTGGGGGGGTAGGGGGTGGGTTGAGGGTAGGGGTGAAAAATTGAAATTTTGAAGTTGAAAATATTTTTTCAAAACAAACTTAATTTTTTTTTTGGGGATGGGGGCTGGTAGGGGGTGGGTGGGATGCGGGGACTGGTAGGGCGTGGGTGGGGGGTCGAGGGTTGGGGTGAAAAAATAAAATTTTGAAGTTGAAAAATATTTTTTTTAAAATAAACTTAAATTTTTTTTGGGGTGGGGGGGGGGGGTGCTGGTAGGGCGTGGGTGGGTGAAAAAAATGAAATTTTGAAATTGAAAATATTTTTTAAAAACAAACTTAATTTTTTTTTTTGGGGGGGGGGCTGGTAGGGGGTGGGTGCGTGGGTGGGGGATCGAGGGTAGGGGTGAAAAATGAAAATTTGAAATTGAAAATATTTCTTAAAAACAAACTTAATTTTTTTTTTGGGGGGGGGGGGAGGGGGCTGGTAGGGAGTGGGTGGGTGGTGGGTGGGAGGCTGGGTAGGAGGTGGGTGGGGGGGGTCAAGGGTATGGTGAAAAAATAAAAATTTGAAGTTGAAAATATTTTTTAAAAACAAACTTAAATTTATTTTTTTTGGGGGGGGGGGGGGGGGGGGGGCTGGGTAGGAGGTGCGTGGGGGGGGGGGGTCAAGGTAGGGTGAAAAAATGAAATTTTGAAATTGAAAATATTTTTTAAAAACAAACTTAAATTATTTTTTTTTGGGGTAGGGGGTGAGTGGGTTGGAGGGGGGAGGGGATCGAGTGTAAGGGTGAAAAAATAAAAAATTGAAGTTGAAAATATTTCTTAAAAACAATAAAAAAAAAAATTGATAGGGGGGGGGGGGCGAGGGTAGTGGATGGGGGTAAAAAATAAAAAATTGAAATTAGAAATATTTTTTAAAAATAATCTTTAATATTTTTTTGGGAGAGGGTGGAGGTAGGGGTAGGGGTAAGGGTAAGGGTGGGTAAAAAAAATTAAATTTAAAAACAAGTTTTAAAAATTTTTTTTTTTTGGGAGGGGGGTGGTTGGGGGGCTGATTTGAGGGTAGGGACAAAATAAATTAATTTTTTCAATAAAAAAATAATTGTAGTTTGAAGTTGGAAGAGAGGTTTGGAAAATGTTTTCCTTAAGTTTTGAAGGGAAGTCATTTTCCTTAAATTTGGGGAAAATGAGTTGATTTGGAAAACATTTTCCAAAACATTTAACCCAACCAAACATGAGAAAATTGGAAAACATTTTCCAGAAAATGTTTTCCTTCATACCAAACACACCCTTAGTCTTCTATTTTTACTTCAACACCCATCCTTTTATCTAACTCTGTTGGAGGTTAATGGGGATAAAACAAACAACAAACTACCT